AGAAAAATTATTAACATTGTGGCAACGTTTGGTAACCGCAGAATACAACATTCAGATAATTGGCAAATAATGCAGGGTGAAAATGTGAAGATTACTTGACTCAGCAAGATCCCAGGATTTGGAACAGTCTGAATGGCAGCTGGATGCAGATTCAGCAGTTATTCTCAAAAGAGATTTGGGATTTTAACTTTTCAAGGAATGATTAAGAGGGCCGTGGACAAATGGTAGGGGAATTGGGTTAGATTTGCAGCACCTCCAGAGTGAGAGTAAAGCCTTTGACAGGGTTCCACATGGTAGACTAACTAGTAAAGTTAGATCACATGTGATTCAGGAAGAGCTTGGTAATTGGAAACAAAATTGGCTTAGTTGTGGAAGAGAGCATGATGCTGGAGGATTTTTCAGAGTGGAGTTCTGTGACCAGCGGTGTTCCACAGAAATCGGTACAGGGTCCACTTTTGTTTCTCATTTATATTAATGATTTGGATGAGAATTTAAGGGACAAGATTAGTAAGTTTGCAGATGATACTAGAATTGGTGGTATAGTGGTTAGTGAAGGTTATCTAAGATGACAGCGAGATCTTGATCAATTGGGTCAATGGGTTGAGGAGTGGAAGATGAAGTTGAATAAATGCGAGATATTGTATTTTAGTAAAATGAACGAGAGTAGGACTTACACAATTGATGGTTGCACCCTGGGTAGTGTTGTGGAACAGAAAAATGCTGAGATTCAGGTACATAATTCTTCAAAGTTTATGTAGACAGGTAGACAGGGTGGTTAATAAGTTGTTTAGCACACTTGCCTTCATTGCTCAGACCTTTGAGTATAGGAGTTGGGATGTTATGTTGAGGTTGTACAGGACGTTGGTGAGGCTTCATTTGAGGTATTGTGTGCAGTTCTGGTCGCCCTGTTACAGGAAGGATATTATCATTAAACTGGAGACAGTTCAGAAAAGACTTGCTGGGATGTTGCCAGGAATGGAGGGTTTGATTATCAAAATAGACTGCCAAAGCTAGGACTTTTCTCACTGGAGCATCGGAGGTTAAGGGGTGACCTAACAGAGGTTTATAAAATCATGAAGGGCACAGATTATGTGAATAGCAAGGGTTTTTTTCCCCTAGGTTGGGGGATTTCAAGACAAGGGGACATATGTGTAAGGTGAGAGGAGAAAGACATATTAAAAAAAGACATGAGGGACATTTTTGTTTACAGTGGTTCATGTGTGGAACCAACTTTCAGAGGAGGTGGTGGATGCAGGTACAGTCGCACTGTTTAAAAGACATTTGAATAAATACATGTATAAGAAAGGTTTAGAGGGATGTGTGCCAGATGCAGGCAGATGGGATTAGTTTAAATGTAAACTTATATATTTAATATAAATTTCAGAGTTCTAAATTGGAGTAAGGCCAACTTTGACGGTATTGGGCAAGAACTTGCAAAAGATGATCGGGAGAGGCAATTCACAGGTAAAGGGATGCTTGGAAAGTGGGAGGCCTTCAAAAATAAAATAAGGAGAGTCCAGAGACAGTATATTCCTGTTCATGTGAAGGGCAAGGCTGGTAAGTGTAGGGGATACTGGATGACTCGAGAAATTGTGGCTCTGGTCAAGAAAAAGAAGGCAGCATATGCCAGCTATTGACAGCAGGAATTGGGTCAATCCCTCGAAGTATAAGGGCAGTAGGAGTATACTCGAGGGAAATCAGGACGGTGAAAAGGAGATATGAGCTATCTTTGGCAAATAGGGTTAAGGGGAATCCCAAGAGATTCTGAAACTACATTTAGGACAAAAAAGCAACGAGGGAGAAAATAGGGCCCCTTTAAAGATCAACAAGGCAGTCTCTGAGTGGAACTGCAGGCTGAGAT